TTTCCCGACCAGCTACACCATACTTTGATCAATAAGGTGAGTAAAATCAGATCTATCTACTGCTAGATCACGGAAGTCTACATCACTACCTCCAAGCGTGCGACTGTGTGAGTGCGCGTGCGTATGTGTGAGCATATACGTTTGTGTGTGAGAAAGTGCACGTGTGTAAGCATGCGTGAGAGAAGATCGTATGGTAAGGAGAAGGTCGTACGAAAAGAGAAGGAAGACCGCGTGTGAGGGAGGAGACCAGGAAGCACACTGGGAGGGATGGAGACGACCATGAAAGCGGAGGTAAGGTGCACGCAAGAGGGGATGAAGGGAGAACTCGATGACGGGGGTAATGAGCGGACGAACATGATACGAGGAAAAATGGTGAGCGGGCAGATCAAGCTAATGGAAAAACGCGCAAAGAAGGGAGCCTAACGCGTGGAAAAAAAAAAGAGAAGAGGAAGAAGAAGAAGAAGAAGAAGAAGGAGAAGGAGGAGGGAGGACGAAGGAGGGAGATGGAAAACAGGAGCGGGAAGGTAGCAAGGGAGAGAATGATGAGGGGGGGATTAGGGGGAAGGTGAGGAGCAAGCAACGGAGGTGGCGACTATGGTGGAGAGAGACAGTGACTACGGGAAGGACCATCTTGTTTTAGAGACGATAGGGGAAAGAACGTCAGAAAGGAGATGAAGGCAGGGCGCGATCGGGAGTAGAGCGTGCGAGACTGCGCGCAGGTGATCAAAGAAAATGGGCGGGGAAGTAGAAGGAGAGGTAGAAGAAGAAGAGAAAGAAGAATGAAAAGGAGGAAGGGGAGGAGAAGAAGAAGGGGGAGAAGACATGAGGGAAAGGACTTAGAGGAGAAGGGAATGAGAGGAAGCGAAGGAGGAAGCAAGAAAAGATCGTGAGTCATTGCGAACATATGACAGGGCCACCCGTCCGAGGATAGATTGACAGTCCTGCTACGACTGTATCAGACCGGGAAAGCAACTGATATGAGCATCCTCACTTATTTATGGATTATTGCTATTATTTCCTTTTCTATTTCATTTTTATTATTACCAGTATTACGGCCATATACGTACTCGTCGTTCTACTCGTAACCACAATGCCGATTGTTCCTCCTTGTTCGTTTGTCCGACTCACACTTCTGGGTTCATACGTGGTTGAGTCACCCATTGACGAAGGGCCGGTTGAGCAACATGGTAGGTCGTCTTAGCAGTAGAAATAGGGAGAGAAATGTTGTCGCAGGGAGAGAGAGGGGAGGATGAAGATATAAAGGCACATACCTGATCTTGGCCGTCGTTCGAAAAAATTGACCTGTTCATGTATGACAGTTCTGCTGCTGGCAACGTTGGAGTACTACCTACTATATGTGTGTGTGTGTGTGTTTCATAGAAAGAGAGATAGAGATAGAAATATATATATATATAGAGAGAGAGAGTGAGAACGAGAGTGTGCGAGAGAGAGAGAGAGAGAGAGATAGAGAAGTAACGATGATAATGATGATGTGGGGGCACTTACCTCATATTGACGATGATCTGCATGAGCGGCATCTTCAAGTACTTCGGGTTGCCGTCGATGTCAATAGTTGCATCATCGATTCGTAGGTTGTAGTAGTTGTGTAGGAGTATGCTGGGCACTAAGCGATAAGTGGGAGAGTGATGGGACTGGACTCTTGTGTTGCTTCAGAGAGACAATGCTCTCCTTGACATTGGTTTTCGGTGCTACGAACTTCCATTTGTGTATTATTGGTGCAATGCTACTCTCTGGACACAGTGAGACTATCTGGCTTTCGATGTGAAGGTGTGATCTTGATTTGTCATCTCGCTACTGCTTACTTTCCTTGTATTTTATTATTATTATTATTATTATTATTACTATTTTTATTATTATTATTAGATGAGTAATGATCTGGGGAACTCGTGGTGTCTGTATGGTGGGGATCGAGGTTCTGAGTGATACGTGAGACTTACCTGGAGCTCGAAGCGCTTGGCTTTGGTTAATAACGGCTCGTACTTCGGGAAGTTGTTGACGTCACCAGCTACACTGTAAGTATAGGTGAGGTAGGATCTGCCATCCGTAGTTTGGGCGCCGAGCGCCAGATAGGAGATCAACATTGGTTCTTCGTTGATGATGATGATGGGACTATTTCAGCATTGTTAACTATGAACTCTTGAAGTCCTCTTACTTGGTGAAACTCGTGGTGCAATTCTGCTGTTGGTTAGAGGTCACGAATATCTGGTCTCATGTGTATGATGCCTATTGATTGTTGAAAATACGCTCGCGCTCATCCTCCTTGCATTATTATTATTCATATTATGTTAATTTTTATTCTTATTCTTATTCTTATTCTTCTTCTTCTTCTTCTTCTTATTATTATTATTATTACTGCTACTGATGTTTGCCCGTATCTAGGAATGGGGCTGTAACAGAGGGAAGTCAAAGGGGGGGGGAACTGCTGCTAGAGAGAAGGAGAAGGAAATAGAAAAAGGGGCTAACAGACGAAGGGTTGTGACAAACTGTTATTGTCTGAGATTCACGGACTCAATACGCATACACGCAAAAGAACGAGGGGCGAGAAAGAGAGAAAGACACAGAGGTAGAGAGACGAAGAGAGGGGAAGAGGAGATCCATAGAGCAACTGAGACACAAAAACAGACGTATAGACTCTCAGTTACACAGATACGGAATGACAGGCACAAATAGGGGAATCGAAGAAAACGGACAGAGAAAAGAGGCATATAGACAGACTAAAGCAGTCTAAAGACAGACAAAACGGACAGGCAGACAGGAAGTCTGACACAAACAAACAAGGCAGACAAACAAATAGATGCAGAACGAACAAACAGACCAAATAGATACGGGAAAAGAAACTGACACACAGTCTGGCACACGGCCGGATACGCGGTCAAACGTGCAGGCCAACACATAGATAGACGCTGACAATCAGGGAAGATAGACGCAGACATACAGACATATGCCGACTGACGAATAGACGATCAAAGACAGACGATGGTAGTGATGACTAATGGTGGTCTTAATACACATGACAACTATATAGGGGATCGAAGAAGCTTACCTGGTGCTTGAGGCAATCGGCATTGCCCGAGATCTGCCCGAACTTCGGGGAACTGTTGACGTCGTCAGTAACATTGTAGGTAGGCTAGATAGAATCTGCCATTCGGGGTCTGGACATTAGGGGCCAGATAGGAGTTCGACTTTGGTTCTTTGTTGATGATGGTGAGACTATTCCAATATTGTCACGGGTGAGCTTTTTGTTGGGCCCTTATATGGCGAAACTCGTGATATAATTCAGCTGTTGGTTCGAGGTCGAGATTATTTGGTCTCATATGCATGGTGCTGATTGACTGCTGAGGTTCGCTGTGGATCGTTTTTTATTATTATTAGTAGTAGTAGTATTTATTATCATTGTTATTATTACCTGATATTGCAGTCAGACTTACATTCATTCAAACTTTACATGCATGCAGACAGTAGCACAGCAAACCGACGACAAGCGCCCACTCAAAACTAAGAAATATGGTAACGAAGAACGCAGTTCAGATACATGCTTGCTTCAGATGGCTGTGGCGACAATGGCTGCTTCTATGTGCCGGAGCCGTCGGGATGGCGGTCCGTTAGGATGGAGACGAAGGAGGAGGTAGAGATGGAGCTGGAGGGGACAGCGCAGCTCCGACGCAGACCCCACACGCAAGTACTCCAAGATCTGCGAAAGTGAAGAGAATACCGAAAAACAGACTGCAGCTGGGGTATACCCCCAGCGGACTGACTGGACTGGACTGGCCTGGTACCGACCGTGGTACCGGGCGGGACTGGACTGGACTGGCCTGGTACCGACCGTGGTACCGGGCGGGACTGGACTGGACTGAAACAATATACGGCCTGTGGGGTCAGGCCACGGCCTGGTCCCASAGGCCGAACTGGCAAATAGCCAAATAGGCCCTGGCTGTAGGCCAGGGCAGATGAAGGCCCGCTGCACGATCCTCAGACCTGTAATGGATCGCAAGAGCCATAAACACGCTATCCGCAACAGCAGCGGAACTCTGCAATAAAGAAGGCTGAGAAATCTAGGATGCGGAGCAAGCTCCATGCGGGGTCCATGTGATGCATCCTAAGCTGCATAATGTCAAAAGAAAAACAAATGTCTGGTATACATGTCCTAACTAACAGCAGAAAATGAAATGTAGCATGATACAATCCTAAAGTCCTGGAGGCAATGGCCTCAGTGCTGAACGGAAAAGAGCAATATGTCACAAGGTAATGTCATGTCGCTGACCCACTAAACGTGGGATGGTCTCAGAGGGGGTGAATGCAGCCTAAGAATCGAAACTCCTAAGGGCAGTCACACATGAAGGTGGGATAGGTCATCAGGCTCAAGGTGGGAGAGTGGTAGCGAAACAAAACCAATGACCCTAACAGATAGACCATCAAGGCGGGTAAGGCTCGACAAAAGGGTGACACCATGCAGGGTCGACCATGAAAACGGGAGCCTGGAATACCAGGGTGGAGATATGCCAAAGTGAAGGNGGCTCGACAAAAGGGTGACACCATGCAGGGTCGACCATGAAAACGGGAGCCTGGAATACCAGGGTGGAGATATGCCAAAGTGAAGGCATGCAATCGCCGGCGCTAGGGTGAGGAGGGCAGTGGGTGAGGGAAACATGCACACGACTCACCGACTGGGGGAGGGAGCTAGATCTGGGGGGAAACATGCACACGACTCACCGACTGGGGGAGGGAGCTAGATCTGGGAGCAAGGAAGCCAAGATAACGCTACGGTCCCAATGCCTATGCGATACCAAGGGAGAGCCAAACTCAAAGAGACCCAGCTACGTGAGAACCATCATGCGACAGATGCAGGGTAATGTACAGGGTAGGATGGTGGCGTGAARTAGTCACGTCCAAAGTAGCTGGAGCCAATAGCTGAAGCCAAGAAGATGGCTGAAGTCGTCGATGTGGTCGATGACGTCGATGAAGTAGCAGTCGAGTCGATGTCGAAGCAGAGCCGCAAAACGCTGACATCCTGAAGAAGAACTGATGATGGAGTACCTGATGGTGTGAGTCAGTGGGGAAAGATATAGGATGAGAGTGTCAGTCATCGTAACGCGAAGGGCGACGATGAGTGCGCTGTGGACGCTCGGAGGCGACCGTCTGCTGATGATGAACGGCCTCAAAGGGAGCGGGCTCGTCCACAGCAATCTCCTCAGCCGGAGGAGGAGGAATAGGGTCAGTCGGCTGAGTAGCAACAGATGTCTCAGCACGACGAGCACGATCATATGCACGCACCAGCATCCGGGCGTGCTCCAAGTGCTCGAGGGGCTCCCAAGTAGCCTCCTCATCAGGGTAGCCCTTCCAACGCACGAGGTACTCGATGCGTGGAGGGGTATCGTCGGTCACTCGGCGAGATACGATGTCGGAAACGACGAACTCCTCGTGACCGTCCACCATGATAGGTGGAGGGCGYTCATAAGGGCGTCCGGCGAAGCGCTCGGACGGTCTGCGATAAGGRCGCAGCAAGGAGACGTGGTAAACATCGTGTACGCGAGCCTGTCGAAGGTAATCAGGTAGCTTCACACGGAAGYTGACTGGACTAGCGGCAGTATCAGAACYGACGGCCTGAAGGATGCGGCATGGGCCGAAGAAGCGACGCCTGAACTTGCGAAGCGTATCTGCTTCGAGCTGCAAGTGGCGTGCATCGACGAGCACATCGTCACCGACTTTGAATRGATGATCCATTCGAGATCGGTTCGCTCGTGCGRCCATGCGAGTCTGGGAGTCGGCTAGACTCTCGTGTGCGCGCTTCATAACTGCCGCCATGTGGGCGATCCAGTCGTCAAGCGCAGGGCAACAAGTGTCTGGGCGCAACCGCGATGGTCGTAGGAARTCCGCGGGTACGCGAGGGTGGTAGCCGAGGTCGCAATAGAATGGCGACATCCCCGTGGCTGGCGAAACAGCGTGGTTGTACGCAATCTCCGCGTGGGCTAAGTGTAAGTCCCACTGCTGGTTAACCCTAACAAACTTTCGGAGTATATTACCGAGAGTTTTGTTGGTGACCTCAGTCTGACCATCCGTCTGAGGGTGGTAAGACGACGAGAAGCGGAGCTGRGATCCKTACACCTCGTGTAGGCGTCGCCARAATGTGCTGGTAAAGCGCGGATCACGGTCGGAGATGATGCTCTGAGGTAAGCCGTGATCTCTCACGACCTGGTCGAAGACGATGTCGGCGACCTCACGAGCGCTAATGCGATAGCGGCACGGGACAAAACGTGCACGCTTCGTGAAGCGATCGACGACGACCAAGATAGCATCATGACCGCGCTCAGTGGGTGGGCGGAGGGGGCCAATGAAATCCATCGAGATGGACTGCCAACGACCCTCGGGTATGGGTAAGGGCTGAAGTAACCCATACGGAAGGTGATTCGCACTGTTCACCTCCTGGCAGGTGGGACAATCCTGGATGTAGGCTTTGACGAAGTCCTTGGACTTCGGCCAGACGTATAGGCGGCAAACACGAGCCAACGTCTTGTGGAAGCCCATATGGCCGGCAGCTGCCTGGTCATGGAACTCTGCTACAGCCTGGACGCGGAGCTGTCCGGTGGAGGGAACGCAGATACGYGGTTCTAGCTGACCAGATCTGCCATGCCAGTACACGAGACCGTTCTCACCAAGGGAGTATGAGGGGACGGTCTGGCCACTGCGTAGTGTCGCGTGGATGTCGCGATAATCCGGGCAGTGACGGTACTGGGTGCGATATGAGTCAATCACCGACTGATCGACAGTGGTGATAGAGATGGCAGCAAGATGGATTGGCTCCTGATTGTGATCAGGACGGCGGGACAAGGCATCGGCGACCCGGTTCGTTACACCCTTGATGGGCTGAGTGGTGAAACTGAACTCGGATAAGTCACGCCACCAACGTGCCTGCCGAGGGGAAAGCTTGGGCTTCGTGAGGAAAGCCTGGACAACTGAGTTGTCCGTGCGCACCGTGAAGGGCGCCCCGTGCAGATAATGACGCCAATGCCGGGTAGCATAAACTACTGCGAGAACCTCACGTTCATCGGCAGTGTAGTTTATCTCGGCAGGCAGTAACTGACGGGAGTAGAAGGTGATCGGGCAATCCCCAGCACAAGCCTCGACAGTCCCATCCTCCGCRATGGTCGGAGAGTAAGTAATGGGAGGACTGTCAGTGGAGGGAAGGGGTGGTAGGAGAGGCGTCAGTCGAGAAGCAGTGTCAGCAGGAGGGGGGGGAAAGGGAGGAACATGGGGATAAGGTGACTCAGGAGGAGAGGGAAACACCTGAGAAAGTACTGCTCCAACTGCAAAATCTGACGCATCGGTGGTGACGATGAAGGGGCGATCAAAATCAGGGAGGCGAAGAACCGGCGCACAAGTCACCGCCTTCTTGAGGGCGCGGAAAGCGTCCTCGCAGAGGGGTGTCCAGAACCATGGCGGGTTCTTCCGGAGGAGGGTGGAGGTAAGGACGTAGGAACACCTAGCGTATCCCTGGAAAAAGTTACTATAGTAGCTAGTATGGCCTAGAAAGCTGCGAAGCTGCTTGGCAGATGTGGGGACGGGCCACTCTGCAATAGCAGTGATCTTCGCGTCGTCCATGTGGAGACCCTGGTCAGACACATGGTGTCCTAGGAAGTCCACTTTGTGCTGAGCAAAGCGACACTTACTGAGCTTGGCATAGAAGCCATGCTTGCGTAAGCGCTGTAGGACATCACGGAGGTGTCGGATATGGTCTTCTAAGGTACGACTGTAGACCAAGATGTCTTCCAGGTGTACGAGAACGTATTCTTCAAGGATGTCCCTGAAGATGTCGTTCATCGCCGTCTGGAAGGTGGCGGGTGCATTGGTGAGGCCGAATGGCATCACCGTGAACTCGTAGTGGCCGAAGCGAGATCGGAAGGCGGTCTTCGGCTGGTCCTCTGCGGCAACGCGGATCTGGTGGTAACCGCTACGAAGATCGATCTTCGTGAAGAAGCGGTTGCCTCCCAGACGATCAAACAGCTCATCCGCGCGGGGCATAGGATAGCTGTTCTTAACCGTGTAACGGTTAAGGCCGCGATAGTCGATGCAGAGGCGGAGAGTTCCGTCCGCTTTGCGAGCAAAGAGGACACTTGCACCCCAAGGGGAGTTACTGGGTTTAATGAAACCCAGTCGAAGGAGCTCCTCAAGTTGACGCTTGAGTTCCGTCGCCTCTGGAATCGAGAGTC